GTATTCGACAGGGCTGCCCCCTGAGTTCGCTGATCTACCTAGTTGCAGCAGAAATCATGGCAGTAAACATCCGAAATAATATTAAGATAAAAGGTATCAGAATTGGGAAAAACCAAGTAAAACTTTGTCAATTAGCAGACGACACTACTTTATTTTTGACTGGTAAAACTTCTATTGATGCAGCTATTCAGGAAATAAAGAGATTTGGAGCTGTTTCAGGTTTGCAGCTAAATATTGAAAAAACAGAAGGCATAAAATTAGGCAGTTTAAGAAACAATAAAAATGACAAACTATTGAATATAGCATGGAAAACAGAAATTAAATCACTTGGTGTCTTTTTTGGATGTGATTCTCAAGCAGTGCATGAGCTAAACTGGAACAATAAAGCTGACAAATTAAAACGAGCCTTAAATCTTTGGAAAAAACGAAAATTAACTTTATATGGAAAGATTGTTATCATTAAAACTTTAGCATTATCTCAACTAATGTACCTAGCAAAATGTCTTGAAACACCCAGTGACAATTTTATCAAACAAATAAATACAGAACTTTACAATTTTCTATGGGACGGAAAAAGAGACAAAATACAACGATCAACTTTAATTGGGCCTATTATGGAAGGTGGACTTTCGATGCCTGATCTTAAGTCTAAATTTAGCTCTTTTAAAATAAAATGGATCATTGACATATTTTACGGTAATGCATCTGACAATTGGAACTTGCTAGCAAGAGAAATTTTAAGTAAACTGGGATTAGGAAAAAATGAGTTACTCATCTTCAGCTGTGCATATGGAACTACAAAAAATATAACTAACTTTAACATCCTTCCTAAATTTTACCAAGACATTCTAGATGCATGGGGCCTTATTGGAGGAGCATCCTCCAGAAACAAATCATTTGCTGACATTAGAAAGCAAGTTATTTGGAACAATTCAAATGTAATCTTCAAAAACAAAAGTCTATATTTCAAGAACTGGATAAATTCTGAGATTATTTACATAAATGACTTAATGGGATCCCAAAGACATGTGTTAAACAAACTCAATAATAAAATCAATTGGATGTCGGAATATAGTCAAATCAGACATGCAATACCCACGTACTTTGCGGACAGTATGAACTCACAAGAGAGCAAGAAGACAAACGTTTCAACACAACAGTCATTAAAAATTTATAATGTTACTTCCAACACATATCAGTGTCTGACTAAAAAAAAACTACTTCAAAAGACATTTATATAATTCTAATTGACAAGATCAAATCAAAACCATTCATGGAAAAGGTATGGGTTGATCTATGTAAGCTTCAAGATTATACTGAACTTTTCAAGTGTGTATGGGTTTTCTTGTATAAGTGTCAGAACAAAAAATCTGCAAATTGTAAATATAAATTGCTTCATAACATTTTACCATGTAAGTTCTTACTTAAAAGATGGCAAATAAGTCAAACTGAAAACTGTGATTTATGTAACGTAGTTGAAAATTATAAACATTTATTCTTAGATTGCAAAAGAGTAAACAGAGTGCTAAAACAATTAGAAGAGTACATTTTTAATCATTTTAAAATCACAATAGATTTAACAGATATTAAAACATTGATTTTTGGATATAAAACACGAAACATTGACTACAAACATTTTAATGAATGGCTTAATGAAATGTGGTATATCATATTTGTCAACTATTGTAAAGATACACATGAAATTAAAATGCATCATTTTAATGCAATTATGTAGATTTGTACTGTAAAACATATAGTTTAAAAAGAAATAAAGATAGATTGAAAGATAAAAAAAAAAAAAAAAAAATATTTTTGTCCAATCTTCTGAAATGGGAACTCTGTATTCATGTAAACATTTTTTAAATGTTAAATTGAATATTACACATATCGATACTTTTTGAAAGTACACTGCCAGCCAAATGTGTTGATTTCTTTTGAGTAATATCTCGAGATGTATGTACATATACACGTAAAATATATTTGGTCACTACAGATAATGAGACCATTAACTAGATCCATCCTTGAAGCAACAGTCTACTTAGAAAACCACACATTCCTATGCTAGTAGCAGGATAAAGTAAAATTATGAGATGAGAGAATTACATCAATCCAGTGTATTCCTTCAGTCATACCTTGATGGATCAACTTGAATTACATAGGTCTTGGAATAATTTGGATAAGTATTGAAGAATGTATTCAAAATATATTTGTCTTGGGACAAACTGTTTAGTAAAGGTGGGAATCTGGGAGACCTGGCCAAAATGTAAAAAGAATCAATTTCCCCCTTAATGCCGACTATAACCTGATATGATTTGGCCAAAAATGCAGGGAACATTTGTGATTTACCAAATGCTTGCCGAACCTATAGATCTGTAATTTTGTAATTCTCCGATCCACACCATCATCTGTGCTTAGGAAATATCCTTTTTACAAGCACAAACTATTTTCAAAAAAGTATTGACTTTCAAGTATTGACTTTAGAAGTGGTTCCATTTTAATTACATATTTAACCTTTAGCATGCTGCCTTATTTCGGCAAGTTTATCCCACACATATGGCTTATTTTTTAAATAATGCAAAAAATGATATACCCTGGACTGAAAATTTTTATTAAAAATCTCAATAACTACTGAATTAATCTGGATAGAATTTTCACAAAAGGAAGATACACTGGCCTGGCTCATGAAAAAAAGTTCTCATGAAGTTTTTCCATAAATAAACTCAACTTTGCATATAGAATCTATCACTAGGTCCCTCGGGTCAGAATCCAAATCTGAATTTGCAGCTATCTATTTTCAACTTTTCACTTCAGAAAAAAGTTCGAAATTCAATTTCTGATCTCCATTATGGGCTTCCAAAAGCCTTGATAGCTCAAAATCATGATCCATATCCTTGAAGTTTTCATTGAGACCGTATCTGCCCACCATTTTGTTTGATTTCATTCATTATTATCCATTAAAAACGATCTTAAGTGACTTAAATTGGACATTTTTTGAAAAAGTTGCCATTTGCATTAAAATGACGTCATTAAATGGCCTCATGGGAAGTTTTATGTGACTGATTGGGAATCTGATTGGACAACAGATTTACTGGCGGCAAAAAGTTAGTTAGTTTTTAAAAGGTCAATCTTGGCAACTGGGTCTGCCGGCAGTTGTGGTAGACGTATTAGCCTCAGCTGATGCGTTCGCCAGCAGCAAGCTAAAGGTTAAAGTGCATCTTAAGTAACATGTAAATGAATCTATTTAACAAGAAATTTAAGTTGATTTAACTGCAAATATTGTTTTACAAATTCTATATTGCGTTTCAGGCCTGTCAGGCACTTTTCTTCAAGGGGCTGCAGTTTTTACTAAAAAGAGTAAACTGGTCAATTTCTGCCATGTAAATCATTGGCAGATGGTCAGATGGGGGATCAGTTACTCCCTAAAGTAAACCGACCCCCTCCCCCCAAGTAAGCCTACTCAATCTATTTTGTAGTACTTAAATTGGTTTCATATGTTGTATGAGCATAGGCCAAAGAAAATTTTTTTTTGGGGGGGGAGCAAGGAGTTGTACCCTAAAACATTGAACATTTCAACTTGGTATTCAAGGATGTCTGCGGTGGGCACTTTTAAAGGGTCTGAGACAATAAATAGAATATATTTTGAATTTTTTCAATTATTATTATTTGGGGGAGGGGTGTAAGGCTGGCCCACTCTCTCCAGAAAATTTTACAATTTTAAGATGCTATTTGGTGATTTATGGGCACTTTCATAGTGTATGAGTCAATAAAAAAATTAAAAAAATTTTGGGGGCACCCAACGCACCCCCACCCATCTGACTGTTTAGTTATATAATCATCCCAACATAAAGCACCTCTTATAGAAACCAATATGTGATAATATCAAGGTCATCTTTGAATAAACAAAACATATTTTATTTATAAATGATGCAGAAATTATTTTATTGTATGAAATACAGGGTGACACAAAAAGTGCATTTACTTTCTCAATAACATCTACACAGGCAAATTACATTGGACCCTTTACAAACCTGTACAATCTTTTACGGGCCTCGTTACGAGTCCTGTAATTGCTTGTAATTTTTGAGCCTCGTAATAGCTTGTTATTACAAGGCCCGTAATAGATAGTAATTTTCGATCCCCATTCTTGTCCGTACGTTGCCCGTAACGAGCCCCATAATAAATCGTAATTTTCGATCCCCGTACTTGCTCACACAGTGCCTGTAATGAGGCCCGTAATAGCTCTTAATTTTCTAGCCTTGTACTTACCTGGACGATGCCCGTAATGGCTTGTAATTTTCGAGCACTGTACTTGCCCACATGGTGCTTGTAATGAGGCTCGTAATTGCTTGTTTATTTTGATGAACACTTTTTGATCAATGAAATAAAATATAGCATACTTGAGAAATTACGTTTCAATTATATCTAATTATGAATTAATATGTTTTCAATAATTTCAAAACTTTGGCATGTCAAGTATCAACATGATAAACAGTATAAAAGCTAGGAAACAAGATGTTGCCATCTTGGTTACCAATGAGACACCATATTTCTCAGAATTAAAGTAAATGCATATAAAAATTTGCGTGCGATTGTTGAATAAGTTGAAATGTGATGTAGATAAATATTATTGTAAGGAATGTATGAAAAACATATGTAATGTTGTAACAGAAAGATACGTGGATGCTGCAGCATGACATTAAATAAAAAAAATTTATGCTGTAAAAGAACCTGATAATGGGCCTCTAAATTATGACCTCGTACATGCTCGTACGGTCCTCGAAAACAACAAATACGAGGATCGTACGAGCTCGTACGGGCCTTGAAAATGAACTCCATATGAGCCCATATGAGGATCGTTGTTCTTTTTGCCCGTAATGACTCATAATTCTTGAGGCCTCGGATGAGCTCGTACTGGACCCCATGTAATTTGCATTTGTATACTTGGAATAGAAGGGACACTCTTTCAAGAAAATCTGGTAATTTAATATTATCCTTTTCAGGATCGTGGACTGAAAATTCCAAGAAGGTGTGCACATGGACCAAGTGATTTCATTCCTCAACATGATGTAAGTATGCATTCAATTTTGTTTATATAAGATTTTATTCTAATCCTACCTACTCTCAGTATATAAACAAAAAGTATCTTAAATGGGACACTAAGACAAAAGAGAATCTTGGAGATATTTAGCTCTAAATAATGATGAAATTGATTGACATGTGATATCTATACTACTAGTATTTATGGTAAAAGTGTCACTTTCATGATTCTTCCTGCATTTCTTTCTTTATATGTTTGAGGGAGATCTGATTTCTTTGACATATTGTAAACCTTTCAATGGTTCAAACAAGATTGTGCTATCAAAACAAGTATATTACACTTTATACACAATAGGTACACCCTTACATAAGTCATCAGTAAAACCAAACTAGTTCTCAAACCATCCTATCCTAAAACCCATCTTTAAAAATCATAAAATGGGCTGTCCTAAAATATGATGCCAGTTCATGTATATATTTAAGTGAAATATTTTCTGAGAGCGAAATGCTTTCTTTTGTGAAATGTTTTCGGTGAAATGCTCTGTAAGGGTGAAATATGCTCTAAGAATGATATGTTCTTTATAATGAAATGTTCTCCAGAATAGAGCAGTCTTAAAATAATAGTCTTGAAATATTTTGGGAGAATTTTCTCAAGAAAGAATAACAGAAATTCTCTGAAATCATTCATGAATACATTATTAATTGATCTTCCATTCCCATTCATAAAATATAGTTAAATCATAATACATCAGTCTAACCATTGTATAACTTGGCATAAGGACTGTTAAGTTATTGTACTGCTCTTCAAAATATTATTAACATACCAAATTCCTTCATATTTTCCTCTAATTTTCACCAATATGCCTGACTGTACTGTATTTTCTAACATTTTCTTGCAATATCAAGAGCCATTGATTTATATGGTAAGGCAAAACCAATATCCATGCATATTGTATTAAGTAAGTCATGTCGTACCACGCATTAGTGTTACTTACTGTAAGTGAATAACCTATTTGTGTACTATTAATGAATAAATAAAAGAAACTCTGGTCATGCCATCCACATAGAGAAGCTGTCCATTTGTCCATTATTATGGGTTCATCTAGTCTCTGGATGATATTAAAGTTCTTGTTTGTGGATGTGGCAACATGGTTCAAATTTTATAGGCTAATGCCTTCTGTACATAGAACCTTTGCTTGAGAAGGAATTATCAATAGAGCCAGGACCAATAGACGTCATTTTGGTCAACATTTCTTGTACAAATGAAATTTCTATTTTTATCATATTGGGTTGAATCTATATTCATTTTATGTTTATCTATACTTACGCCTGGTGATCGCACAAAATGGATGGAGGGGGGGGGGAGTAGGCGATGTCTGCAAGAAAACTCAACAAATTTGGAAGTTTTATTTTTTCAAAAGAAAATTTACAACTGAATTACCAAATGAATAGGGACAGTGCATGGCAAAATATGTTAGGTCTTCTCGTTGTTTTTTTGAACTGATACGCTTCTAAGATATGAGATCTATTAAAAAAGGTGCATCATCACTAACGTGCAAAAGTTAATGTTTTTGCTATAAATCAGGCAACAATGATCTACACAACCTGTAATAAATAGGTATAATATGAGGTTATATAATGGTTCATTCTGTATATCGTGTTTATACTCGAGTGAGTATATAATATATTCACAAGTGAGCGTAGCGAACTAGTGAATATATTATATTCTCACGAGAGTATAAAATGCACGATATACAGAATGAACCATTATATAATCTTATTATGCCACTTTAAGTTCAATTACAGTTGATTCAAACAATCATAACAATTATAAAAACCAAAAAAACTCAGTAATGCCGATGTTGATCTCGATCCATTTATGACGTCACTTGATTCTAGAAAATCATGTGGGAACCATTTATGACGTCACTTGATTCTAGGAAATCATGAGTAACAAAACATACACCTCGTTCTTCGGTCAATATTCATTAGTTCCCAGAATGCACTTCTACAGTGGTATACGCTGGAGTGTATACGGAGGAGTTGTATACGATGACGATATACCACTCTCCACTGTATATCGTTGTTATAGACCCATGTTATACAACTGTAATCTGACTTAGAGTGGTATAAGGGACGTTATTATCACAACACTAATGACATTGCTCAATTTTTGGCTTACACATTGAGCCTATGGGATCGACCAGGCGTCCGTCCGTCCGTTGGTCCGTTGGTCCGTCCGTCCGTCAACATTGGCCGCACAAATTAAAACTGCTATTCGAATTGAGTCATATCCACATTCATTTTATGCATATCCATAATGCCTATTTGACCTATCATCGCCACAAAAAAACTAGAAGACCTAAAAGAATAAATCGTCCAAGTTTGTTGAGTTTTCTTGCAGAAATCGCCTACTCCCCCTCCATCCATTTTGTATGATCACCGGGCGTGATACTATCTGTTTCCCACTTCCCAAGTCTTCTCAGTTTTCAAGAAATTGGCGAGTTTGATATAGATTAGAAGATATCTAATTTGATAATACTTCAGACATTAGTTAATGAAAACAAAGAATGAAATTCTGCGCTAATGTGAAAAAGTCAGTCCACCCTAGTGGGGATCAAACCCACGACCCCTCGGTTGCCGGATGAGTGGAACCGACTGGCTTTTCCACATCAACATCGCAATATAGAATTGCAGCCATGTCTTACATGACCAGTTCCCTGGACCAATAAAGTTACCAGTCTTTCCAGGTTGTCAGTCATTCTATTGATGATGTCACATGGACTTTCCCATGGGCCATTCCCCATCAGAGAAATAGTATGCTATGTAGACTAAGGTTTATTATTTATCCCACCAAACGAACTTGGAGGGAGATAAAGAGAAAGCGTCCATCCGTTCATGTCTGGCAATAACTCAAAAACCAGTTGACAGATTTGATTCAAGTTTTATAGGCTTATGCCTTATGGGTGTAGGACCTCTGGAATTTTCAATATGGCCACTAAATTCAAAATGGCCACTCAAATACTGGTCGACATATTTGGTCCAAATTTTACATGTTGATGCCTAGGGTCAAAGGAGCTTTGTTCAAGAGGAGATTTTCAAGATACCTACCAAATTTCAAAATGGCTGCCATTTTTTGTAAAATATGTAATCTTCAATCTTCAACTCAAATACTAATAGACAGATTTTTAGATAACAGGAAAGTGAATCTTTAATACACACCTTATTGAGTTGCCTTATAAGATATTGAATGATTTGAAGTGCAATACAGGATATATTCTGCTTCAGAAATTCTGTATTGGGACGAGACGAAGTCGAGTGCCTCTACAGAATATCGAGAGCAGAATATTTCCTGTATTGCACTTCAAATGATTCTAAAACATTTTTGTCGTGTGATCTTAGGCCAATGCATTTTACTTCGGAGACAATACCTTTGAAATATTCTGTATTCTCTCTATTGCTACTGAGATTGTCCCTTCCGTACCAATATTTTCTGCATTGCTCCGGAGATGATCAATGGGGAGAATGTCAGAAGCAATACAGATTGGTACAGCACAAGAACTGACCAATCAGAGGGCTTCATTTTACAGATCATTCAATAATAGTTTATATCACGACCCACTAAGGTGTGTATTAAAGATTTACTTTCCTGTTATTTAAATCTTCTTGGAACAGTACCATTGGATATCTATGAGAAATTCCTCCAAGAGAATATTCTAGGGATCAAGGAATCTGTTCAGTTTATGATTATAATATGAGAAATTATTGGCATATTTTAAAACCTATTTAAAAACAGCATTTTTCCTATTCAAAATATTGATTATCAATGATTCCCAGCCCTCTGAAGTTTGAAAAATGAAAATACCTGGATGTTTATCCATAGATTATCTATGAAAATAAGAAATATTTTTTGGGGATTATATGATGTAATCTTATAATCAATAAAATGTTTTACAGTTAACTACAGTCAATGGAATCTCAGTAGAGTTCAGGCACTATACTAAACTACTGCTGGGTATATAGACTGTTTTGATTTGGAACCCTCATCTTAAATGATTCACCTGGAAATTTGGTTTGATTCTGACAAACCTTTTTAGTGTTACAGAAGGTATAGTTTTTTTAAATTTGTATGAGATGTTGTTTTATCATTAAAACTCTCTGATGTAAATTAATTACAATTGTTTTCTGTTCTGAAGTATATCATGGTGAATTTTTGTGCATTGTGTAACAAATTATGGAATTTTCCAGTTCATTTCTAAATGCTTGTTATTTGAAGTGATCTGAGAGTTCTATTGATCAGGAAGATCATTTCAATGTTTGGGTGACCTTGCTCTCGAGATAGAGAATTTATGTTGCAAGTAAGCTACTTTCATGATTCCCTTTGCCATGATGTCAGTATATAGGAGGTGCATTATTACCCTTTGTTATCAGACCAACATGAGATTTTGTTGTCTTATGGCTGGATGACCACATGATTGCCATCCCTGTGGTCTTGCTATTGCTACAGTTTCAATTGCTTCTGTCCTCACACCCCTCTCTCTTTAAGGACATGAGATGACTGCATTGTTATAGCCTGCAACTTCAATATATTACTTATGTCACCATACCAAGTTAAAGTAATCAATCAGTTCACAAGTGCTTCAAATAATGGATAAATAGATGGCAGTAGCAGTTTTAGTCCCGCTTGTATACCATCATTTTATATGGAAAAACTTAACAACAGTAACATCATATTTGAAGTCAATATACAGGGCATATCAAAAAAACGCAACAAGTAGTTATCTCGTAAAATCACAAAACTAGTGATGACAACATCAATTTCATTCAATGTACCATAAAGCCACGTCTCTCCTCCTTGCAATGATATGTCATTCATTCACATGTGGTAATGGTTGGGTGAGAAATCCTTCCATTTGCACAGTGGGTCAAAATCGGCTCTGCTCCAAGTTTTAGATATTGCAAAAATCAGTACAAGGGCTAAGTGCCAGTGGAAGTTCCCCTGACTTGAATTGTTGTGACTTTTTCTTTT